GGATCCAGGTGGAGTCTGGAGGATCCAGGAGGGACCTGGAGGATCCAGGTGGAGTCTGGAGGATCCAGGAGGGATCTGGAGGATCCAGGAGGGATCTGGCAGGGTCCCAGCAGATCTGGTGGATCCAGGAGAGACCTGGTGGAGCCAGGAGGAGTCTGGAGGATCCAGGAGGGATCTGGAGGATCCTGGTGGAGTCTGGGGGGTCCAGGCAGGATCTGGCGGACCCCAGCAAAGTCTGGAGGATCCGTGTGAGATCTGGAGGATCCAGGAGGGATCTGGAGGAGCCAGGAGGGAGCTGGAGGAGCCAGGAGGGGGCTGAAGGATCCGTGTGAAATCCGGAAGGTCCAGGTGGGATCTGGTAGATCCAAGTGGGGCCTGGAGGATCCATGAGGGATCTGGAGCAGCCAGGAGGGATCTGGAGGAGCCATGTGCAATCTGGAAGGTCCAGGTGGGATCTGGTAGATCCAAGCAAGGCCTGGAGGATCCAGGAGGGATCTGGTGGAGCCAGGAGGGATCTGGAGGAGCCAGGAGGGATCTGGAGGAGCCAGGAGGGATCTGGAGGAGCCATGTGCAATCTGGAAGGTCCAAGTGGGATCTGGTAGATCCAAGTGGGGCCTGGAGGATCCAGGAGGGATCTGGTGGAGCCAGGAGGGTTCTCGTGGATCCCAGCAGAGTTTGGAGGAGCTGTGTGAGATCTCAGGGATCCAGGAGGGGCCTGGTGGATCCAGGAAGGATCTGGAGGATCCAGCTGGGAATCTGGGCGATCCCAGCAGAGTCTGGTGGATCCAGGAAGGATCTGGAGGAGCCCGGAGGAGCCAGCAGATCCCGTTGGATCTCAGTTCCCGCAGCACTGCCCACGGCCCCGGGGGCTCTCCTGGCTCAGGTCCTGTGGATCCCGGCTGGATCGATCCCAGCAGATCCCAGTGGATCCCGAGTGGATTTGGGCTGGGTTGATCCCAGTAGATCCCGTTGGATCTCAATTCCTGCAGCACTGGCCCCGGCCCCGGGGGCTCTCCTGGCTCAGGTCTGGTGGGTCCTGGCTGTGACTGGGGTGGGTCCCGGCTGGATTGATCCCAGTAGATCCCAGTAGATCCCAGCAGATCCCGTTGGATCTCAGTTCCCGCAGCACTGCCCACGGCCCCGGGGGCTCTCCTGGCTCAGGTCCGGTGGGTCCCGGCTGTGACTGGGGTGGATCCCGGCGGATCCCGGTGGATCCCGGCTGGATTTGGGCTGGATTGATCCCAGCAGATCCCAGTGGATCCCAGCGGATCCCTCAGTTCCCGCAGCACTGGCCCCGGCCCCAGGGGCTCTCCTGGCTCAGGTCCAGTGGATCCCGGCTGGATTTGGGCTGGATTGATCCCAGCGGATCCCAGCAGATCCCAGCAGATCCCAGTGGATCCCAGCAGATCCCAGTGGATCCCTCAGTTCCCGCAGCACTGGCCCCGGCCCCGGGGGCTCTCCTGGCTCAGGTCCAGTGGATCCCGGCTGGATTTGGGCTGGATTGATCCCAGCGGATCCCAGCAGATCCCAATGGATCCCAGCAGATCCCAGTGGATCCCAGCGGATCCCAGTGGATCCCTCAGTTCCCGCAGCACTGGCCCCGGCCCCGGGGGCTCTCCTGGCTCAGGTCCTGTGGGTCCCGGCTGGGTCGATCCCAGCGGATCCCAGCAGATCCCAGTGGATCCCAGCGGATCCCTCAGTTCCCGCAGCACTGGCCGCGGCCCCGGGGGCTCTCCTGGCTCAGGTCCGGTGGGTCCCGGCTGTGACTGGGGTGGATTTGGGCTGGGTCGATCCCAGTAGATCCCAGCGGATCCCAGCGGATCCCAGTGGATCCCAGTGGATCCCAGTTGATCCCAGCGGATCCCTCAGTTCCCGCAGCACTGGCCCCGGCCCCGGGGGCTCTCCTGGCTCAGGTCCACGCCCCGGCCCCGGCCCCCGGCCCCGGCCGAGCTCGGCGCCTCCGTCCTGGGCAGCTTCTTGGCTGCAACGGGGGAGGGGCGGTCACTCGGGGTCACCTGGGGTCACTCGGGGTCA